CTGCACGTAATTCAACGACCGTCTGATCCGCCGAAGACGTCGCGAGCAGTACTGTCTGTACCGGTGATAGTCTCCATGTTTGAGGCCGTGTTGGCTCTGACCCTCTTTCACCACATGAAGAACTAGTCATCAAACAAACAGATCGTTAAACACCACATAAGGCTCGCGACCACTCAATGGCAGACATACTCTCAAAAGTGATACTATCCTTATGGGAGACGTCGTTGATCTCATTGACCACGAGATCTAATCCATCGCTCGAAGACACGTCGCTTTCATCCATATCTGTGACGAGCCTTCACTTCACGACATCACGTGATTCACAGCCCATTCAACACATCATTGATGTCTGAAGACTGCAAACATTGACTCATATTTTAACCATTATTTCTAAATCATTGGCAATACTTAGCAATGATTGCAATGAATGTGAACTTCATTTGTAAACTATATTTCAATTATAATTACATTAATTGTATACAAAAGGAGGCGCGAGAGGGGGAGAGGGGGTGAGAGGGGGCTATTGAATCACATCTTGGTTTACATTGCGTACAATTGTTAACATTATTTTGTTGACTCATTTCAGCTGATTTTATGAGTATTTTCTACGAATGACTCGAAAGAAACTTAACATTTGTTTAGAATTAAACTTATTATGAAATGCATTGAAAAAACATTGAATTAATGATTGAATTGATTTCTGAAGACATTTAATATGTTTTTGGTGTGAAATAAATGCCACAAAATGTCTGATAGTATATACCCGGGAGACAAGAACCCGTTTGAAGGACAAGACATCGACTTATATCGCATGAGTTCCACAAGTGATCACAACTTAAGCCACACTCAGCGGCGAAGAGTTGATTTCAATGTCACCCAAAAGCCCACCACTTCTTCTTCCGCTCCCGACTTTACGCCTCCCAACAGATCCATACCATCCATACCTCAAGTCTTGCCAATGAGTGATATATCGGATCGCGAGATGAAGATAGCGGTAGTTGTCTTGGATTCGGTGAATGTCGTCACTCATCACCTCTTAATGCATCCGTTTCTTGTGATTCGACGACAAACTCAAGTAAATATATTGTTATCAATAATTGTTGTCGTATTGGATGTCATGTTATTGTTATTTCAGGTGAGCCTCCGGAGCAAAGTATACCACTTGACGCCATTCACTGTCATTGGATTCGTTGTCGGCATTCAATCCAAACAAGGCTTTGGAGTTCTTTGGAAAGGAATCGCAAGTGTTTTTCTCACGAAAGCCATTCAAATAGGCTTTGAGTCCATAATCACTGAATTGACTCCATTTGTCAGGTATTCCTCTCTTCAAACTGGTCTCAAATGTTTGACCAAATGTTCAATTCTTTGTTTCCCTTCTCAGAGATATGAGTGACAAGAGAATGAGTGTTGAGACGGGCTTTCATCACCTGATCCTCAAGGGATTGGCGATAGTATTGGTCACACCATTCCTGTGCTCGAGTTGTGCGGAAACAGTTCAGAGTGCGATCGCCACCGAAAACCCCGGGCTTTTCGACTCGGTTTGGGAGGGCTTTCGGCGAATCACTCACTGGAATATCGATCGAAAGC